TTACCGCTTAATAGGCGGAACACGAAAAGTTTGAGTTTAGAAATTGATATGTAGATTTTTTGGTCACTTTTGAAAGTCCGAACATTCCGGTTACAGAAGAAGACCACGCCATTCATATGGCCAGACGCGGTGGGCGTGCCAAGACCTAATGCTGTGCTGTCTATCCAACGAATTTTTCAACACATTTTCGATTGTTTTGTAAACTATGACTGCAATGGCATATTAAATTTTATGTTTGAAGACACGTATTGTCTCTAAGTTGACGCAGCAGTTATCCTTAATGGCGCTCTATAAAAAATATACCATCGGAGTCAAGTCACAACTGCGAGATGGTCAGTTGACATCACCCTTACGGCCAACGCAAATAAAATAAATTTTTTTATATAATTTTGGTTGATGGTCTAGTCAGAAATCGATCTCATGACCTGCAGCATGTTAGCACGTACATCTAAAAAAAAGAAGAAGAAAAAGTTATGATGACAACTTCTACGTCCATGAAAAAATTAACTTTTAATAGTTTAATGAATTTAATTTATGCAATTAAATCAGCAAAAAAGCGATTGAAATGAAATTTGGTTTTATTATCAACTCACTAAATAGTTAAATAAAAGCCAAAAAAAAAGAAAAAAAATCTTTAATTGCGTCACAAGTATGTATATATGTACAGGCGATGAAGTCACAAAGTAAACTTCCAAATATCCGGTACAAGTATAAATAAGGTATGTACGTATGCCTTGAAGATATCAAATATTTATGTCATTTGCGCCAAATTTCGCGGGGAATTTTTCAAAATCGCTTTATTTTTTCTTTCCTTTTTTGTGTACTCATTTGCATAATAACGTCTTTTTTTTACTTTTAGTTTGTCTTTATTCGCAAACAATTAGATATATGTAGCTTGATGGTCAGATTTGCTATTGGAATTTTAAAGTGTGGAAAATTTTTGAGTTTTTTTTTTTTTTTTTTTGCAAAATCATTTTGTCTACCTCACTGCAGACAGTGTCGAAACTCGTCCAATCACATATTAAATTTTTTGATAATATGTGAGCGGCAAGCAAATAGTATATAATGTGTCCTTCAAAAAATAGAAACAAAAAATAAAAATAAAAAAATTAAAATGTGTTTGTATGTATTATACTCTGTTCTCAGTTTTTTTTTTTTTTTGTAATTATGCCGAATCGATGAATCAGTTGCGTGAATAATGTCTTTATTTATTTATTTATTTGTATTATTTTTTTTATTTACCTCACCGGCAAAGTGAGCGGGAGTGACTATTCTGACCACTTGAATTGGCGCCAACACTTTGAGAATTTACATCAATGGAAAGATACGCGAATGCGTAAATATCATATACTACGTGTGTGTATATGTTTGTACATTTGGATGATTTAAAAGGAAAGAATTTCTACCAACTACATAATTGTATAATAATATATTATATGTATATATATATAAAAATTTCGACTTGAATAAATTTCCACCGTTACAAGTGCTATTAACACATGTCGAGAGTGCAAAAATATTGATTTAAGTTTGCAAAACGTAGAAAAAGTACCTGAATTAGATAAATAAAAAAATACATTAAATGCAAAAAAAATACAGAAATTGGCAACAAATGTGCTGTAATAATATGCATTTAATTGGTATAAATTAGTATGAATGGGAGAGAGAGAGAGAGAGAGAAAGGGAGCGAGTGAGAGCGCTGGGTGATTAATAAAACAATGATTTATATTTCTACTTCCACAAAGCAATGCAAAGCAGTGTAAAGTAAACGTGTTCTAGCTAATATATTATTGCACACTTACCTATATATTTTCATATGTACATAAATATATATACAAACTCATCTTTATGGCTGCAACTACCCAACGAGCGTACCAGCCGTCCATAGTAACCTATCTTATGAGAGCGCCATGTAAACACAAAGTTGTCACCGATTTACCATAGCGTTGCTGACGTTTGTGTCGCAGAAACCAACGAAGTTTTGATTTTTCCGTAAAACCGGCTCGGCTCATTTTTTGTTGCTATACAAGGTTGCCAGTATAGCCTTTCTTAAAGTAACATTAAATAATCGAAAATAATGCGTAGTTTTGTTCAAAAGAAATGAAAAATAAATGCGTAACTAATTATTTGTTACTATATAGATCATGTATATTTGCCTTGTGTTTATGTTAAAGCAAATATATTATGAAATTCGTTGACGAAAATTATGAATTTGTTCAAAAGTGTGCAAACACACAGGCAGCTGGCAACATTTCGCCGCTCTCAGCGGCGTCGATAGCTCGTGTATGTATTTCACTACTAACGTCGTCAGTTATGGACGGCTGGAGAGTGAGTTGGGTAGTTGCAGCCTATGGCAAAAATTTGGAAAAAATTTACTTAAGTACATTATATTAGTAAAGAAAAAATTATATCCCCCCCCAAAATACTTGTATCCACTACATATACATACATACTTTAACACACATTGTTGTAGCTAGTACTGTTAGCGTCGCAAATAATGAGTGTAACGCAAATAATTTTGATAATACTTCAACTCGTATTCAATGAAACAATTTTGTTTACAAAAATTCCATACCCTCAAAGCCTAATCGATTTCCAATAAAATTTAATATAATATATTTATCTTATTTATTTATTGGAAATTTTATAAAACAAAAAAAAAACATAAGTTTTTCTGCTCGCAATGAGAATATACAAGGCGTCTATAACATATCAATTTCCTATCATCTCACTAGCTGTCACCCGCTACTCATCGCCACAGCGCACTCGAGTATCTACTTACGATTGTGTGTAGGCAAGTGCCCTTGTTCAGGAGTGGAGGACCACAAGTCGCTTTCAATTATCATTCAAATGATTGTGCAAAAAACGGAGGATGTGCATTAAGTGCCTTGCAGCACAATTTGGTGCACATGTCCAAAATATGACGTTAGGAGAATATTTCAAGATTACTTTGACCACAACTTACTATCTTTCTTTTTTATTCCCTTTCATTTTTTCGTACTTGACTTATTTAATTTTTTTATTTATTTATTTTGGCATTTTTTTCGCTTTTTTTTTGCTTTTAAGTTTATAAAATTGTATTTTTTTAGTGTTATTATATTATAATTCATCTTTTTATTTTAATTTATTTCATTTTATTTAATGTTATTATATTTTAATTTACCTTTTTCTATACTGCTTTATTTTTTATTTTATTTTATAATTTTTTTTTTTTGGTTGTTAGCTTGTATCCATTATTTACTTTAATTTATTTCATATTTATGTATGTATGTATACATCTAATTGGCTCCTTGTCGGTTAAGCGATTTTCGGCCGAACTCTTCCACCAATTTGTGGTTTTGCATATTGATGTTTTTCCAACAAATGTAGGGACCTTAAGTTTACGCTAAGCCGCCTCCGAACGGCTGATCTTTTTTTTTTTGAGGAGCCTTTATTTCATGTCCAAAAAAGACTCGGACATTCCCTGTCAAGGGGCGACCGCAGTTAGAAAATTTAACTTAGTTTTTGATTTAAATTAATTTTCTTTAACTTTTTGGATGTTGGTCGAACCAGGACTTGCGTCCGGGCCTTTCGAGTTGCAATACGCAATGCTAACCACTCGATTACCGCGGTCGCCAGAAAGTTCATATAGTTTCTATATAATTTAAGTAAATTTGTTTAATTTTTTTATTAATTTTTTTTTAATTTAAAGTTTTCACTATTTCCAAAAAACTTAAAACCAAAAACAATTCATAAAAAAACATTTAAAATGTATTATTATTTTTTTTATTTTGCTATACTTTATTTATTTTATTGCATTAAGTTTTTTGTACTCTATTTAAATTTGCGTTTATTTTCTATATGTAATTTTTTATTGTTTATGATTTATTTTATTTAATTCTTTTTTTTTTGTAATTTTGATTAAATAATAATGAATTTATTTTAAATTTATTTTATTCTATTTTATATTATATTATATATTTTATATTAGCAGTTTAGTTTTGTCTAATTTTTTATTTAAGTTGTATTCTTATATTTTTTATTATTCTTTTTAATTATTTTATTTCATTTCGTTTTATTTTATTTTATTAATTATTTCATTTTATTTTATTTTATTTTGTTTTATTTTATTTTATTTTATTTTATTTTATTACAACGAGAGGCGTATGACATTTCCTAGGCCTTGTGTGGGGACCCGAAAAAATCAATTTGTCTTACTTACAAATCTCTAGTTGAATATAGGAAAATCTGTTCTCTCGGTTATTACTTAACATTTAATTAGCGTTTTGGCCATAATTTCGGAAAATTACCTTCGTAAAATGTTCAAGTGCTAGACTCGCGATGTAAAATTACCGAAACTAAGCACCGAATAAATACTCAAATTTCGCCTTCGATTAAAATTTTATACAAAAGTACATTTTGCATAAATTCTAACACTAATAAGCCGACCGCCCACCACTACACACGCATGAGTACACCGCTCGCCTTGTGTGCATATTAAACCACATAACCGTAATCATTATCAGCATAGAACAAGTTCACCACGCAAGTGTTATCACCGAAAACCCTTGCTTATCTATCGCCAGCTGCTTCGGTCCAATTGAACTTGACGAACATCGTGAAACGATCGCTGATTGGTAGCCAATTGTGAATCTATGTACGAGTATGCCCGTTGCAGCGCTGCCAGCGTCACTGTCGCCGCCGTCTGAAACAAGTGATAAGCGAATAAGCAAAAATGTGTATTGTAGTACATTTATGATTGCCGTTAGACGATGTACATATATATATTTTGGTATTGATTATAACGAGATCGTGTCGTACGATCGTAAACACTTCTGTTATTGTTGTTGTTGGTGATTTTTAATCTACAGCGACGCATTGTAATGGATGCGTCCAACAATCGACGGCGGTTTGCATACATGTGTGTGTGTGTGTGTGTGTGTGTGTGAGTGTGTACGGCACACGTCACTGATAGCATTAAGATGAGTGTCGAAAAAGTATTTAAATTGCGGCCAAATTAGCAGAAATCTATCATTGCGTTACGAATAGCAGCCATAAGAGGATGTTTTTGATTCTCTCAGAAAAATAATACGAAAGTAATTGAATAACGGTAAAAGTGGAACATACGACGAAAGGCATTTGTTGCATTGCAAGTTTTGCGATTTAGTGTGGAAAAAGGACTTTTTTGTTAGAAATTTTTTAATAAGCGATTTTACGATATTTTGAAAAAAAAAAACAAAAACGTTTGAAACGTGAAGCAGTGCGATTAAATAAAAAGTGAGAATTTTTACTTTTTTATTTATCTTTTTTTGTGTAGATTTGCATTCATATTTTGTTTGTGTTTGTGTTATTCCATTAATAAAAACAAATAGCGACAATTATTGTTATTTTTGCTCATTATAAACATAGAAAAAGCGCTGAAAATTTTTATAAGTTTTCTTGTGTATTTCTGAGATTTTTTCGTAATTGCCATATATCTTTAAATGTGTGTCGTTACTTTGCTCATCTTAATTTTATACGAATCCTCCAAAGTTTTTTAGCGTTTTAATTAGTTGCTTGACTGAAATGCTTAAATATTCATTGCAGCGATGCGCATTAGGTGAATCGCCAGTTTATGCATAAAAGTAAATATAAATATGTACATATATTATGTACATATCTTATATATATCAACAAACCGTGTGAATTTAAAACGCCTACTTGTTTTAATTTTTTTAATTTGTGATTTAACAAACAGCTCTAGTCTACAATTCTTATTAATAACTTGACGGCAGAAGGCGGGAACTCGAGAAATGTTTTGATTTTCAACATAAAGTGTGAAGAGAAAAATATTTGTACAACAAATTAGCAGCCACAATAATGAAACGCAAGCTAAAATTAGTTTTTTGAGTGATCTATAAATATTTTAAAAAAATTTGTTGTAGACGCGTTGATGTCAAAATAAAGAAATATTTTTTTTTTATGCGTTCATTAAAAAATAAATACAAACAATTCAAGAAATGAAAGAAAATTTTAATTAATGACTTTAGAAATTTTTTCGCGAACAACGAGAGTTGTTTAGTATAATTTTAACAATTATTTCATTGAAAATTCATAAGTTAAAAATTAAATTTTGTTGCAGATCGTTTTTCGTTAAGTGAAAAAATTAAATTAAATAATTAGAAATTTTTGAAATTTTAACTAATAATTTTATGAAATATAATTTCTTTTTTCTATAAAGAAATATTTCTTTTAATACTTAATTAAAAAATTTTAAATTTGTCGAAAAACTCTATTTTAAACGAAATGAAAATATATGATTTTTTTTTTACTTTACCATAGTAAAATATAAATTTTATAAATATATTTAATATATATTATATATATATTATATTCTATTTCAAAATAAATGTTTTTGAATTTGTTTAAAAATCAGTAGATAATGATATAAAAATAACGACATTTTAAAAATTTAATTTGAGGGTTATTTAAAATCTTTATATTCAAAATAAGTGAAGCAATATAAAACAAAACTTTTATCAAAAAAATTATATTTTCAATAATTTCGTTTAATTCAAAATGAATTAAGTTTAACTGAATTAATCGATAAATGTGTGTCATATCTAGTTTATTAAATATTAGCTTCTAGCAATGAAAAAAGTGTTATAAAAAAATAAATTTTTTAAAAACTTCGGGAGAAAATTAAATGAATTTTGTTCAGTAATAAATATGTCTCATTTTTTTTAATTAAAAAATTACATTAATTCATTTTGTAGAAATTTGGGTATTTACTCCTATATAATAAGTTATCTTAAATACTCTCACTGTACTCAATAGTGATTTTGTAACATATTTCAAAAAAAAAGGTTTAAAAATTCAAGAAAAAATTTAATTTTCTTTAAACGTTTGATTTAAAAAAAACTTAAAAAAAAATTAAAAAAAAAAAACTAGAAAAAAAATAGTTTATTTTTTAACGTTACAAAATTATAAAATAAGTCAAATATTGAAAAGAAATTGTTCTCTAGTTTATTGGATAATTTTTCATTATGCGATTAATTAAAAAAATTTTAAAATTTTAATGATTTGTGCTTCTATCAGTGTTAGAAAAATTTGTATGCATTTTTAGCAAAAATATGAATGAAATTATTTTGCTAAAAAAAATTATAAATTTATTTAAAAAAAAGTTATTAATAATAACTTAAAAAACTTAATTTATTTTAAAAAAAATATTTCTAATAATTTTAAAGTGAAAAAGTCGTGTGCCACTTTCAGTTTTAGGAAATTTTTTATGAATTTTTATAAAAAAAAATATAAATAATAATATTTATATGTATATACGTATGCAAGATGTCCATCTTATATTCGAAATATCCTATAAATCTTTATAATCATATAAATTTTATTTAATACGCACATAAATACCTACACACATATGTATATAAGCCAGTTGAGGAATTTCATGTGTACAACAATCACACAAAAAAAATTATTTTCGCCTCCAGAAAATGTCTTAAAAATACGTATTAAATATTTATATATACATAAGTATATGTGTCAATGTATATATGTAGCATGGCTTATCTGTGTCAACAGCTACGCCTCGTTTTTTCTCGATTTTTTTTTTTTGTAAACAAATTGTTTACTTTTTACCAAAGCATTGGCTATTGGTGATTTACAATACAGGCATACATACATACAAATATATGGTTTTGAGATTATAAACAAAATTATCGACAAGAAAACAAACAAATTGGCAAAATATACCCGCATTGAGATATTTACCGATACACACTACCTACACATATGTATGTATGTATATTTTAACACACTCACACTCGCACTGACCGACAATTATACGCATGTGTTGATATAATATAACGCCGGGTTTGTTGACATTTTTCTATGTTTTGACCCTGCTTTCGGTGTTTAAAAAATTTCCATTCATTCATTGGTTTTTGCGATTACGTATATACATACATGTACATACATATGTAAAGTAGAAATGTATGTATATACATACATACATGGGTGATGCGTGCTATTGTTTATTAAGACAGTAATACCAGTAACTAGTAAATATTGACTAATAAAAATTGTTAAATCATTACAACAATCATACACGTCAATCATTGATATGAACCGATGCCTTGAATGTGTTAATGATAATCAAATTTGATGTACTTCAAACTGCTAGTAGTAAACAAATGATTTGGGACAGTTAGCACGGAAATTACCTTCGATTATGCGCTATGCAAAAAACAATAACGATACTACGTGCGGATATAAACAAATGGACGTACATGCTAACATACATACATACATACATACATATATGCTTACACATGTCTTCTTACTTGACTGGAATTTCAATTGATTATTTGATATAATCGTTGTGTAGCTTGCTTATATGCGATTTGTACGTACATACATACATACATATGTATGTATAGTATGTATGTATGTATGTATGTATTTATGCACTTGAAAGTTCTCGCCTTGAGAATTTTTCCATATCAATATTAAGCGTCAATGAATTTGGTGATTTTTTTTGGCTGACTTGCTGGACAGGCCTTACCTATATACCTACATACCTATATACGTGCATACAGACAGACATATATACATCTCTTTTTCTTGTTTCTTTTTCGTCTAACAATTACATACAGACAAACCGCAAAACGTGTTAGAGATTGACGAACAGACAATCAAAGTGTTATTGACACTACGAGAACTGCAAGAATACAAAAAAAAAAAACAAAAAAAAAATCCCATGCTACTATCTGCAGCCAAACGCTCTTTACCATCCACTAAGCGAGCATTAAGTCATTCGTAAATAATTCTAAAAAATTTTGAATTCATCCCAAGCTTCTTGATTAAATACCCAAAGTACTCGTGTGTAGCACCGCGACATTAGACAGTCGTACATACTCGTATTTCGTTAGTTGCTGAGCATTTAACAGTAATCCCTTAAGTGATATTGGATTAGAATAGAAATTCGTAACTAAAAATAGCAAGAGAGCTACTTGAAAAAGTGGAAGCGCTAACGACTTTTACGATATTTGCATTGTCTGCTCGATATGCGAAAAAAAAGAGATAAAGCAAAAGTGTCATAAAAAGAGTAGCAATTTTTGTTACTAAAAATGGCAATTATCTAGTTGTGGTTGAGCGTTGTGAGGTAAGCAGACGGTAGGGTTTAAATGACTTATACGAAAATTGCTAGTAATTCTTGGCTTCTGTATACACCTATGTATGTACATATGTATGTATATAGAAACATTTATTTAACAATCACGCAAGCGGCGGGCTACCGGCATTTAGACCATAAACATTGGTGTGGATATTGTAAAAAAAAATAATAAAACATTAATAAAATAAAAAAAAATTAAAAAATAAAAGCAAACAATAATCAAAAAAAAAAAAAAAACAAAGTATAATATCTAGCAGCCAGTCAAAAGTGCTAGCTTATCTAGCTATAAGACGTCACGTTTTACGCAAAATTCAATTACTTTTCAAAATTTCATTATACAAATTAAATAACTGAGTAATCACAGATCAGACTTTTCAACTACTAGCCGCCCATACGTTATTGGGATTTTACCATATTCACTGCCGCTGCCCAATATTATCTTCACTAACTGATATGGTCAGCAGACTTTATCAATGAGTCAAGCAAGTGCCAAAGCGAAATTAACAAAAAAAAAAAAAAAAAAAACAAAAAACAGAAATCAAATGCGTAAGAAATCAGCGTATAAAAAACGTTTTGAAAAAAAAATTCCATGGAAATTAACAAATTCGAAATTTCATTAGTTGCGCTCACTGTACACAAGCTATGGGTATATAATCTTTAAATCTTGCGCCATAGCAGTAAATTATTATTATTTTTTAAATCAGAGATTAAAATAATTACTATTTATTGGCATAAATAATATTCCATACTAATTTATTAGAACTTTCTGGGTACACTTATGTACAATTGACAATTATTGTGGTAAAATATGATTATTAGACTTTGACTGAATATCGAAAAATGATTAATGTTAAAATACCGCAAACGTATAGGGAATGTAAACTTTAAACTGGTTATTTGCGTGAATTTATTTTTAACAATATTTTAACGTTTAACATTGTCTGTTAGCGATTTAACATTATCTGCTAATGACTTAACATTATCTGTTAATGACTTAACAGTAACTGTTAAGGATTTAACTTTATCTGTTAATGATTTAACATTATCTGTTAATGACTTAACATTATCTGTTAAGGATTTAACTTGATCTGTTAACGACTTTATATTATTATTTAATGACTTAACATAATCTGTTAGGGACTTAACATTATCTGTTAATTACTTAACATTAACTGTTAGTGATTTAACATTATCTGTTAACGATTTAGCATTAACAGCAGTATTTCGCTTCGTGTTAAAACGAAAATAAATTTATTTTGAAAACTGCTTTAACTTTAATATTTCCAAATAGAAATAGAATACATGGACATTTTTTTGATGAACGTCAAATTTATCCTTACGAGGCAGCCTTGACTGCAAACATTTCCTTATTTCATTGTACTAGGTTAGTTACAGGGAGTTGCAAATAATGGCCATGGTTAAAACTCACTCATAGTCTGTGACTCAACAATTCATTGCGCTCTTAACTGCTGCACTCTCCAGCATTGCTCGCCATAATACCACTCTCTCTCTCTTTCTCTCACAATTCTCAGTGTGATTGAGTAAGCAAAAAATTGTTTGCACAAATTCCTTCATGACTTCACTTCTTCATGGTTATTATCGTGCCCAGTCAATGGGACAACTTGTAATAAATAAATTTTAAAATTATTTTAATTCAATTAAAATAATTTGTTTAATTCACATGAACTAATCCTTTTTTATTATTGGTTAAACGACGATAGTTTATTAAATATTGCTACTATTTTTTTTTTTTAAATTTTTTTTCTATTTTCCAACGCAATATTATTGAATTAAATTCATTAAAAACAATGTTACCAAAGCCCCGTTGACATTGAGTCAAACGCTAATTGCTTATATCAAATTACCCTTTTTTAAAAAGTCGTTAATTTATTCATATGTACGTATGAAAATATGTGTATTTCTGTGTGGACATGATCATTTTAGTTAGCCATATATAACAAATACATATACTCATGTAGAAATGTATATTTTTGTTTGTAGTATACAATTCATCATGCCAATGTGTCTTCCATTCATTTCAGCTGAAGTATATTAGCGCATCGCTAGTAAAATCGCCGTTGTGCCTTCATACATACCACCCACAAACAAACACCACTCTTTCTACTACTACTACTACTACTACTAATGAATTCACAAGAACAACAACAACACACACAAGTGAAATACAGTGAAGTGAGTCCTTTTCAGATAAGCGACGGATTTAGACGCAATAGCAGAATGGAACCAGTGAAGACAATACGAATTTTCATCGCAGCTGTTGCTGGTGAGTGGGATTTTGGAATTTTTGTTATAGAAATTAAAAAAAAAAACAAGAAGTGTGAGAAAAAGTAACTTTTATAATAATAAAAACAGAGAAACGTCTTGAGTGAGAAACTAAGCTTCAAAATATAACTCGTTACACATATAAATAACATACATATATATGTATAACTGAAAATAATTAAATTAATAAAGTTATACAATAACAACTTTAAAAAATTTGTCTGAACCATTTTTAAATTTTTAAATAACTTTTATTTAAATTTTTTCTCAACATTTTTAAAAAAAGTTTGTTTATTAAATTTCTTAAAACAAAAATTAAGTTTTCATATTTGAAAATAAAGTTAAATATAAAATTCAAAATATTTCTTAAAAACATCAATTTTATATGCATTTAAAATATTTTCACATTCAAAAGTAATAATAAGCTTTATTATTTCCTTCCAATTTTTTTTTCAAATATTTTTTTTAATTTTTTTTTTTTAATTTTTAAAAAAATTTTTTTTTTTTCAAATATTTTTTTAAAACCTTAAAAAACTATTCTGAATGCTTTCAATGTGCTCACCAACAAAATATATATAATTTAACTACTAGTAGTATTTTTCCACCACCGTCCTTCACTAAAGTGGCTCTCCGATAAAGCCTCTCAAGTGCAACGCTGACATTGCTGACGTCACAACAATGTATTGCCCACTTGAACTCAAGTTTCTACATATGAATTAATAAGTTGCATTTTCCTTTTTTTTTTTCAAATTTGCAGCAAATATCTCAGCCTTTGCGGTCGGCACCTGTCTCGGTTGGACATCACCGGTTGCACCGAAATTAAAGGCTGCCGATCCAGTTGATTCGCCACTTGATCGCCCCATTACCACTGAAGAAGATGCCTGGATTTCATCACTTGTCGCTTTGGGCGCTTTGGTAGCGCCCTTCGTAGCTGGCCCACTAGCTGATCGTATTGGACGCAAATGGGTTTTGCTTTCAAGTTCATTATTCTTCGTGCTTGCCTATATTTTGATGATGGTCGCCAGTGAGGTCTGGATTCTGTATGTTGGCCGTTTGATTCAGGGTTTCGGCGTTGGTTTTGTAATGACAGTGCAGCCTATGTATGTTGGTGAGATTGCGACAGATGCGGTACGTGGTGCTACGGGCTCGCTGATGCAGTTGTTCATTGTCTGTAAGTATTCAAGTTCGTCATTACAATATATTTACTCCGTACGCTTCCAGCAGTGCGTTCAAATGCTAAACATATCGTTTCTTTTATACTTTACAGCTGGCCTTCTCTACGTTTACGCTATCGGTCCGTATGTGTCATATTTCGCTCTCCAGTGGTGCTGTCTAGTTGTGCCCATCGTTTTCACTGTTGTGTTCTTCTTTATGCCTGAAAGCCCCTACTATTACGCTGGTAAAGGTCACAAGTCCGATGCTCTTAACTCACTACAGTTCTTGCGCGGTCAGAGCGCTGATGTCGTACAAGATGAAATGACCATCATACAGGGTGAAGTAGAAGAGGCTATGGCCAACAAAGGCACAGTTATTGATCTTATCAGGAATGCTGGCAATCGTAAGGCGCTCATCATCTCGGCCGGTCTCATCATGTTCCAACAATTGTCGGGTATTAATGTCGTACTCTTCAACAGTCAATCGATTTTCGAGAGCGCCAATACCGGTTTGGATCCAGCTGTTGCCACTATTATTATCGGCTGCGTACAAGTTGGCTCGTCGGGCTTAACACCAATCATTGCTGATCGTTTGGGCCGCAAAGTGATTTTATTGATTTCCGCTTTCGGTATGGCTGTCGGTTTGGCTGCATTGGGTGCCTTCTTCTATGTGCAGCAAGCGATTGGTGATGCCAGCAACATTACATGGTTGCCAGTGCCTGCTCTGGTCGTCTTCAACATTGTCTACTGCATTGGTTTTGGTCCATTGCCATGGGCGGTGTTGGGTGAAATGTTCCCGGCGAATGTTAAGTCCATCGCCTCGTCGATCGTTGCTTCCACTTGCTGGATACTCGGCTTCGTGGTGACACGTTGGTACCCAGCGCTGGACGCTTTGGGCTCATACTATGCTTTCTGGTTGTTTGGCATCTTCTGCGTGGTGGCGTTCTTCTTCACCCTATTCGTTGTGATGGAGACCAAGGGTTTGAGCCTGCAACAAATTCAGGACAGACTAAATGGTAAAAGATCAAATTAATTGCATAAATGAAGAGAAATGAGTCGACAGTTTTGGGAGGCGGAGGCATTCATATCCGCATGCTGTAAGATATTAATTTTTTTCCTGTGTGAATGTATGTGGGCATAACTATGAATGTATGCACTTTGTTCCTTATTGTAATGGTGATAGCCTCATTTGAGGCAGCGATCAGTGCGGTGGCTTGCGTTACTAGATAAACTCGCTTCAAAAAGTATTTTTGTTGCAGAAGTTAAATCTAAATGTAATCCTTAAAGTATTTATAGTCCGTAAGCAGTTATAGCTAAATTTAATGAATAAATTAAAAAATGAATGTTATGCTTAATGAAATATTATATATTTATAAAGAATTTAAATAAATGAAGATATTATGTATATTTTAAATGTTGAAAGGTCTTGATTTTTTATTTAATCCTAACCTTAAATTAAGATATGGGTCCGCGTGTTGCAGTCCACACAAGTGGGAAAAGTTTTGAACTGGTATTCATTTGAGAAAGGGCCCCAAGGGATGATTTGATAAATTGTTCAAGCAGCTTGGAACTTGTGGTCTTACATCAAGTATACTCTGGGTGGTCAAGAAACACTCATTTGTAGGCTAGCTAAAGTTAGAAGGAGGTTCTGCTGCGGCTGCGCACTGAGGGTCCACTCTCTCAAATGAAAGGCCGTATTGGTCCGGTTTCTGAGTTGGAAGCGTGCCACTGCCCAACTGATTGACAGAAGATCGATGCAAACAAAGATGTCTCGTACGAGCGCCTAGAACGTGATTATGAATACAATATACCACGCGGTTACAAAATGGTGAATGGCGATTTTAACGCAAGGGGCGCACAATTTTCGGATAATATACGGGAGCCGAAATAGAATAGAATCTGGTACTCTGGTACTCTGACAGAAGAACATTCATTAAGCTACATGGCTGTCGTCGGCTCGAAAATCTCCCAAAAGAAAATGGAACGACTGGTGTCACTTACTTATCATAGTAAGGAAATGGTCATGTCCTGTGCTACAAAGAACGCCTACCAATAAAAACAAGGAATATTCGACGCCGAAAAGCTGCAATAACACAAAAAATTAACCGGTTTCCACTTGACTGACACTATTGCCTTCAGAGCGCAATCATCCGCAACTCGATATGAAGGAACTGTGGATGGCATTTCAAGCTCCTTATGTTCCGCCTATACAAAAGCAATTGCTTTTCGATAATGTGGGAAAGAAAGCTGGTGGGATAAGGAATGTTAAACTACGAAAACAGAAAGCAAATCTGTCAATGTTATGGCATGCAACGATACGTACGTGTTGGTATAGATACCGTGATCTGAAGGGGGAAGGTAGGCGCATTTGTAGACAAAAAAAATTATAATTGACCGAATAAAAGAGTATGAAGAGCTTAAGAAGCTGGCCGACAAGAGTGATGCTAGAAAAATGCGATAATAACATGCAGCGACTTATAGAAGGCTTCAAGACCGAAACATACTGATATAGGCACCAAGGAGGCAATCTGAACGTGATCGTTGTACAGAGCATATTTAGCAAATTTCTCCAGCCTACTGAATGTGGAACACCCAGAGATGGTGATGCCGAAATCCCAATAGATGTCGATGGCAACGATCCGACTATGACGAGGTTAGCATAGCGATTACCAGCTAAGAGAACGACAAAGCGGTTCGGATGGCTTACCAGGTGAGCTAATAAAATAATGCGACGATGTTAAAAATGGCTATATCTGTTTCTTTTCTACATATAGTCCGCGAAGCAATGCCTAATGATCAGAATCTAAATGTGTTCTGCTTTAGACCTGCTAGGAGCGGAAATCCTTGCATAAATTTGGGTGCTGGCTACTGCTTCCTGTTATTCGATTTTCTTGCTTTCTGGCATACTAAAGGCAGAAAGGTATATGCCAAAGATATTAATATAACAGCTGGCTAGATCATGTCGTCCAGCTCTGAAGGTATTCGATGCTATACCCACCGATGGAAGCAGTGGATGAGGAAGATCAGTTCTCCCTTGAAAGATCATTCCATGTCCTTAGTTTATCCCACTATAAAATTCATAAGAGCCATAAATAACTCATCAGATCACTTTTAGTAATGTCACTTGATCACTCTTCCCAACGAATTTTTTGAATTAGATCTATTTACTTCTCTAGCCTCGCAACGGTACCATCGCTCACGATGTTTTATCAAAACCCCCAGCATACTTGGTCTTGTGAACTTGTAAAAGTCGCATATAATTTTAATCAGTACCTACGTGTATATGTATGTATTAGAGTACTAAAAGAATTTAAGAAATTGTACAAGAATCAAAATTTATAGACACAGGCTTCCAATTGATTGAAGTATTTTGCTATTATAGTTAGGAATTTGATAAGAGCACAACATGCGTGGGTCGTCCAGTGAGATTAGAATCTTCCGACTAAACAATGCAATGATTTTGCCTTTTCTACATAACAAGCTGACTCGATAAAAATGATTAATTATTTAATAGCAAAGGAAGTGGTGCATAGACTGAGATAATGTTTTCTAGCTACGCAGATTGTTGACTATTATGTACATATATAATATTCATAAGCAATATTTATGTTAATCGAAAAATTTCTATATTTTCGGTTGAAAATTGGGAAATATTAACGTTAAAACAGTTATCAAAATAAATTTCCTTTGGTTTTTACGCGTAAGCAGGGACTGCTCTTAATGTTAACTCGTTAACAGATAATGTTGAATCATTAACAGAAAATGTTGAATCGTTAACAGATAATGTTGAATCGTTAGCAGAAAATGTTGAATCGTTAACAGAAAATGTTGAATCGTTAACAGATAAAGTTGAAACGTTAATAGATAATGTTGAATCGTTAACAAATAATGTTAAATGTTAAAACTGAAGTGTGGTGTTAAATGATGTAAGCAAGCATTTGAAAATTAATGTTAACGATGTATTTGTGCGGTTACACCGTTAATGATTTCACATGATTTTCAATTTTTCTTGAAAGCGAAATGAAGTGATATCGTCTCTCGCGGTGGCTATATACTTGTAAGAACGTTAAATGCACTTCGAATTTTAGTGGATTGAAAAATAATACATTAAATAAGAAAAAAAATTCTCCGTGATACTCTTACTTATTTCGGGCAACACTAATTCGATGTCAAACTAAAATGTGTTTGAAAGCCGACATCTCAAGCAAAATTTTTCACAAAAAAAAGTACTGAAAATCGCCACGTTTAATTGAAAATTAGTGAAATTTCCGAAGAAATACATTAAATGATGCTTTTTAATAATGAACAAATTCAAAGCACTCATAAAACGTCCGAAAAACTGTTTGAACTACCGTTAGTAAATTGTAAGTGAACGCCAGACCCAAGTGCGGTTTGCTCGTTTCCGTTCGGCAAATTTCGATGTCAAAGTTGTCGCTCCTTCTAGTTGACCAGTCACTCAAAAAGCCGATAAAATTCTAAAACTGGTTAAGCAAGGGCTTCAATCAAGCTGTAAGGAAATAACAAAGGTATTAGGCATCTCTCACTTGGCGGATTGCAATCATTTAAAAAGAAAGCTCGTTGATTCGGTCCTGCCACATGAATGAATGCAAAAAAATTTGATGAGCCGAATAATCAATCACTGAAAAAAACAGAGTCTATTCATTTCTGAAGCGACTCATTATAAGCGAAGAAAACTAGCATAGATAAGATAATATAAAACAAAAAAATCACGACCATATGCCGATGGCTTGAATTGACGGCAATCATGGAGATGCTAATTGGTGGAGTTGGAAAAAAAAATTACCCATTAAGAGTAGCTACAAGCTGAAGAAACGATCAATTCTGTGCTCTACGGTCAAGAAATGACTAGCTTCGGATAATGTCTTCAAAAAATCATACAGAATTGATCAACAAAAAAGGTGTTGTGTTGCATCTTGACAACGTCCATCAACCGTGGCTTTGATGACTTGTGGCTTGTCTGAGTGAGTCTGATGAATCCTCCATAAAGTCAGGAACTTATACCATCTGACGGTGAAATATTGAACGACCAAGAGCCGCTGATCAAGCTCTTCGCCGATAAACCAAATAAGTTCTATAGTGATGGGATTATGCCGCCATGCGAAAAATAGCAAAATGTCGTAGATAATATCTGTCGGTATGACTTTGGGTCTGATGCCTTTAAATATGTTAAATAGCTATAGCTCATATACGGAGTATTAAAAGGATTTAGCTTTGCTTAACGTTGTAAATCAGGCAAAAGCAAACTTTATGAACTAGAAATCAAAATTAAAGTGTTTTTCAAAATCTAAAACCATTCTAGATTCCATATTTACTGAGGAGCGTTTCCTGTGGCTTATGGTCATATTTAGGACTCCCTAAACCTCTCCCTCACAACACGTAAACCAACGTTCTGTTGTTTTTGTTTTTTCCTACACATTCGGGCGCAACACGCTTGACGTATGGAACTTTCATTGTATTGACCCCGAGGAGTTTTACATGGATTCTACGCTTTCAGAGTAGAGTTAATAACTCGGGTTAAAATAACCAAGCCGTATTCCAAAATGAGCTTAACTAACTTGTATACAAAGCTATAGTAACTTAAGGTTATGTGAATTCCTTTGATCTCCGTTTTAAAAATGCCAATATACCTGTGGCTTTGATGACTGTCACTCCAATATGAAGGGAGAAGTTCACATTAGGGTTAATATATATAAAGGGAGTTTCCGAACAAGAGGTTTTTATTGAATAGACTGCTTTTCCAGTAGATGCCTTTTAACAAGTAAAAACTACGCTAAAATTAAGATTTCATCGAAAAATCATCTTCACTAATGAGGCACATTTACACTTCGATACCTACGTCAGTAAGCAAGACTGCCTCATCTGAAAACCCTCCCCATCCTCAACGTCAACTGTTTGGTGCGGTTTGTGGTCATTGTACGTTCTGTTTTTGGAAATGAGGCTGCAGCAACAGTTACGGTGAATGGGTTGCGCTATCGATTTTCAATAGCCCGAGTTGGATGGTATTGAACTGGACAATGTTTACTTTCAACTAGACGCCGCTCCGTGTCACAAAAGCAACGAAACCAAAGACCTTTAAAGAGAAAAATTTATTGGAATATCTAAATAACACCTCTTATTGTTTGTATGTTGATCTATGAAACTACCCGAGAGGTTATACTGAAAAATTTTCAGTTTGTTTTTATGGATGACTAACTTGAAATTCCTTATACAGAGAACTTTATGCTTACAACAGCAGAAAGTCCAATCTCTTCTCCAGGATCTGGATCAGAGAACGACGTACATATACGAAAAAAGATTATTTATGGTTCTTTTTAATTGGATTTCTTTTTTATGGGAAGTGCACGGATTTATTTAAAAAAATATACATATTTATGGTTCGATTTATTTCAATTTTCGGATGATATGTTTCCTGGAAATGGATGCCAAAAGGCCGGGATCCAATTTCCATTTATTCGAAGCATTGATATTGACTTTTTTGTGAAGGACTTTGAACAGCGTCCCGAGCGCTCAAAGCCATTGACACGTTTCCGACCCTCTTTGATGCCTTTCTACCACTTATACACGCTCTTCTGTGACACAGTTGAGTCCGCAAAGGTTTTCTCTAGCATCCTTAACGTTTCAGCAGCCGAAAATTCGTGCAACAAACAAAAGTTGATCACACTTCTTTGCTCAACTAAATCAAACATTATAAAAATCGCCGAAGGCACTTTTAGTAGACTACTTAAGTGGATTGCTTGTAAGCTCTTACGAAGTTTCGTGCAAATGGAAAATTACCTCCAAAGCGCCAAAAGTATAGTATGCTAGGATGACATTCAAGCCTTGGTATTTGCAAGGACGAAAAGCTGTTATGAACTGTAAGCTTTTGCAGCGATAAAAAAATCACTTATAAAACAATGTTGCATATTACTCTGTGGCAACTGCCACTTGAAGGCATCTATTTTTCTATATTCTTCCATATTTTCAATTTTATTAAACACTTTTATTTATTCTATAAATTAACGTAGTTATTTTTCATTAAATAAAATGGATAAAATTGCCTGGAATTATATCTTCTCAATAAATATAGTTCACTGTTAAATGAAAGAATTATCTAATATAAGACATATAAACACAAAAAATACGCTCGGTTTCCGGTCATTTGTCTTTAACGTTCTCTAAATAAAAGTGGAAAACTTTGCTGTTACCACTTGCAGACGACGCTGTGTGCAGGCTTACCATCGCAAAATACTTCTACGCCTAAAAGCAGACAATGCAGTGCTTTGAATTTACCACTAGCTAACTGCTCTGCGCGACGCTTGACGGACATTTCTTAGAGTGCAATTTTACATGACAGCTAAGTGACATTTCCCAACTGACATTTCCTTCACCCATCAGCTGATCCCACACAGGGTTGCTACAACGCGTACCGAACTCTATTGCTGGCAATTAACGCCTTATTTGCTTCTCTGTTGAATTTTAGTTCACAATTAGACACCGGAGAATATTGTACATTAACAACGGTTGCGCTAGATTGTGTCGCCAGTGTTTTTTGTGGTCGATGCGTGTTTGTTTTTCTTGTTTTCTGGAATATCAAGTCTGAGCTATCTGTTAATTAATTGGTTTTCGTAGTGTGTAGAAAAATCGAATTTGAGAATTGTGAAGTGTGTGAAATTCAAATACGAAATCGACGCGAAAAGTATTGATAAACGGAAAGAGAAGTGTGTGCAAGTTTTAGCGAAAATCTTTGTTTTTGTCCAAAGGCAAAATATGCTTGAAGTCAACAAAAGAAGGTTAAATTTCTATGCGTGAGATAAATGAATGCAAAGTGCAAAGCATAAGTGGAGAAAGAAAAGAAGCTTAAAAGCCAAAAAGATATGTGGCGTGTGTGAAAGAGCAAGATAATGAGAAAAGAGCAGAATACATAATCTTAAAAGCTGTGCAAAACAAGATTCGAAAAGGGAAATGTGCGTTAAATGGTAAAGTGATAAGCGGAAAGGGAGTCTGTTAAAGAGTAATAAAAGTGTTGAGTGAGTGTGTGTGTGTGTGTGGTAGAGATAAAATATACAAAGTGTATGAGAAAAAAATAAACAAAAACATAAATATTTTGAGCTGCCTCACTTCGGTATAAATTCACTGCACAAGTATTCGTGTTGTTTAGCTCTTTCGCTAATTATTTGCGTTCAATTAGGTGTGAGATTTGGATATTTTGAAAAAAAAAATATAAAAGATAAAATTATGGTTATATCCACTTCACTTATACTACAATAAATTGGTTTAATGTTTGAAAATTGCAGCAAATGTCAACAGCAAGCAAATAAACAAAGCAAAAAGAAGGTGCGGTGAACATAAACAAACCCAATAACACAGCACACCACCCCCGTGAGAGTGTGACGCAGGCATACATGAATACATACATAAGTGCATATGCAACTGCAATGCACACGTAAATACTCTGCAGCAAACGCAATAATAACAACACCAAAAAATATATTTTTTTTTTTGCACTTGACGCGTCCCCGCATTGACCTCGTATTTCCGTCTGCGGCTGAGAAATAGAAATAAAACAAAGAAATTCATTGAATATCAAAAGAAAAACGTGGTACGCAAGCAGGCGTGGCGTCAATCAAAGGGAAATGTAATGTTGTCGGCTCATCTGCATCTGCATGCATTGACAATGAACAGCACTTCTACTGTCTACAACAACAACCGTTGTCATTCTTTGCACCATCATTGCTGACTGCATATACCGTATATAGCCAACGTATCCTTTGCTTTGCTCCCCACTTGATCTCAACTTTTGTAAAGTGTGTGTGTGCCGTGCTGCTCTCCAGTCGAACGGCCCAAATCCCTAAGGCCTCGTCAACACAAGCCTCAACGCTAATCCAAACGCATATGTCTGTTGTGGGGACTTATAAATTGTCCTACATACACACATGCAATATTGTTCTTTATTCTTGTAAGAAATTAATTGCACTGCGTGTCTGTTGCCTGCTTCTTCACAGCCCTCACTTTGTCTGACTCGAGTTTGTTTTTTTTTTTAAATATTTTTTTTTTTGCACAGCTGTGCTGTAAACAAAATATTTTAGAACTGCTGAAAGATGTCGCGACAACAAATTTTATCATCAAACAACCAAACTGCAATTGCCAGCAAAATGCTGCTGGTGTGGCTGCTGGTCACCATATGTTGCTGGCAATCAACGTTCGCCAACGCCAGTGAAAATGCACAGAGTAAAGGTGAGTAGTGATAGAAAGAAGCCCATTGGTTTTCTTTTTATTATTTTCTAATTTGAAACTTTATTGAAAGGGAAATAGGAAAGCTCGAACTGAAGCAAATTTAATTAAACGATTAATGAATGAGTGAAAATATGTATGTACATATAAATCTAGCTTGTATGTACTTTATATACAAACGTTCGTATAAACTTTCTAAAAGGAGAAAATTTTAAATAAATTGCACTTTCGTAAACAAAACTTTCAACACTATGCTAATGGCGAATTAAATAAATAAAAAGAACATTGAGTCGATACCAAGTTATTCTTACTGTTTTCTTGAGGTTTGCGTTCTTTATTTCTTCGCAACAATTTATTTCATTTATAATTTTTTTGTATTTTTGTTTTAGTTTTTATATCTTTTCAACACTTCTTTTATGATTCAACTTCTTTAATTTACTTTTTTATATTTTGTAAATTAAATTAAATAAACCATTTTTTAATTTTTTTTATTGTTTGATTTTATTTCAGGCAGCTTTGTTTTATTTTATCTGAATTAAGTTAAATTTTACTTTTTTACTAACTTACTTAATTTTATTTAGGTTTGTTTAAATTTGTTGAATTTTATTTTAACTCAATTAAATTTTTTTTCGTAATTTTTATTATTATTTAATGTTATTTTATTTTTAGTATATGTTCTGCCGAAACAAGAACTTTTTTTAATACTATACTTTGTTTTCGCGCCTTTTTTATTTTATTTAAATTAATTCTAATCTTAGTTTCTTTCTTATTTTTATTGCATTTTAATTGTTTCTAATTAATTTAATTTTGCTTAATATTTTATTTCACATTATTTCATTTCGCTTTTGTTTAATCCAGTTTTTTCAATAAAATTATTTTTATTTATTTCAGTTTTATATAATTTATACTTTATTTTATTTTAATCATTTTTATTTATATGTATTTTTCTTCCTTTGATTTAATTTAATTTAATTTCTTATCTTATTATATATTATATTAGAAAATATTTTATGTTATATAACATACAGTTGTTTTTTTTTTATTTATTTATTTATTTTTTTTTAATTAAATATAGTTGTATCTTTATTCTTATTTATTTAATTCCTTCTGTCTTCCTTTATTTCCGCTTAAATCCATTTTATTTAATTTTATTTTAGTGTAACTTTATTTACTTAATTTAATGCAATTTTATTTTATTTAATCTATTTTAACTTCATATATTTTATAATGTATTTTATTTTCTTTGCAGCATTTTCCTTTATTATATTTTTATTATAATTTTTTTTATTTCAGTTTTTATTATAAAATGTTATACATAATGAAATAAAATAATTTATGTTATTCTATATTATTTTAATTTTTTTATATTTTTGTAACTAAATGAGGGTTTATTTATATTCATTTTTTATTTTATTTATTCTGTTTTACTTTATTTCTATTTGAATAAATTTTATTTTTTATTATTTTATTTATTTTAATTTTTTATTTAATTTAATTTTTATTCTTTTTTTATTTTATTTGTTCTATTTTACTTTATTTCTATTGAAACCGATTTTATTTTTTATTATTTTTTTTTATTATTTTATTTTATTTTAGTTTAATCCAATTTATTTTATTTTTTTTCGAATTATGTTTTATTAATTTTAATTTTATTTCAACTATTTTTTTCACTTTACCTTTTTTAATGTATTTTATTTAATTTATTTAACTTTTTTCTTTATTATATATTTATTTTAATATATTAGTTTCATATAATTTTGATTTTTCATATTTTTACAACTTTTTTTAAATAAATTTTTTATTTCTTTAAATTATTATTATATTTTTATTTTCTCTTTTTATTCATTTTAATATCATTTTCGCTAAAAAATGTAATCATACATTCGTTTATTTGTATCAACCTGTTTTATTCTGGCCTTGAGAACCTTATGACAAGCAAACTTGATTGCACGCACGATTATACAACAATATACATATGTATGTATACGACTGATAATCAATGATAATCAGCAAAGGTTTGATATGGGACTGCTCTAAATATTTGTTTACATTTTAAATGCTAAGAAAGTTGTATTTTTATGTATTTCGTTATAAATTCCATTTTAATAAAAAAAGTAACTTAAAAAGATGAATTCTAAAATATTAATAATAGTAATAACAACAAAATAATAAATATTAAAAGCAATTAAAAATTGTAAGATTATTAAAATAATTTAAATAGTAATAACATACTAAATAGAAAAAATATTAACCTTGATTACAAAAAAAAAATAAAAATAAAAAAATAAGAAAATTGAATTGAATAAAATAAATAAAAAAATAAAATAAGTAATAAAAAAAATAAATAAAATAAATAAATAAAATAAAAAAATAAAATAAATAACAAAATAAGATAAATCAAACAAAAAATTGTTAAATTAATAAAAAAATAAATTAAAAATAATGAACCAATAAACATACATATTAAAAAAATTATATTTTAATACTTTTTCAACAGTACAATAGCACAGGGCAAAAGTTTTAAACTGTTTTCTTTACAAATATATATGTACATATGTGTAAATTAGCATATACTCTATATATGTATGTTTATGAATTTTGTACTTCAATTCGCTGAGTCTCTTAAATTTTTACGTTTACCAAACTCTTTAAGTTCCTACACAAATTTAGAATAAATTTTGAATTACAAAAGAAATAAAAATCTCTTTGCTACACAAAACCATACAAATTTTAGAACAATTTTTAAAAAAAATTTAGCAAACATTTGTTGCATTTATATATCGAATGAAGGCCAGATTAGCCCAAGCAAAAGCTATTTGTTTCACGTTTCAAATTCCACACGCGCACCCTACACTGATCCATACATACCTATACCTACATTGTATACTTATAACTATGCAAAAGTGAAGAAAACTTTCAAAAGCTGCTATAAAAAGTTAAATATCTGCTGCTACAGTTTTTGAAATTTTCTAAAATTTTGCAAGTTTTTATTTTATTTATTTTATTTCAGCACTTACTTTTAGAAATGTTTCGTATAGAAATAATTTTTTATGCCGTTTATACAGAGAAAAACAACTTTTGTATATGCCATTAGCATGCTTAGTATTACACTATGGACGACGAAATATATGCATACCTACATACATATATAAAAACATGTAAAATAGCCAAATTCCTTTATATACTAGTGAGAAAGAGCTTAAGCGAAGTGTGCTGCCGGCACGTGCCACTTCAACACTAATGTAGGTATGTATGCATGTATGCACTTTTAACATTTACTCGAAATTGATTTTTTACACACTCCACTGGTGTGATAAATTTTCAAAAAATGCCAGCATTTTCGTCGCATTTTTCATAGCTCCAAATTTTAAATTGAAAATTTTGTTCACTGCAAAAAAGTATGTACATACGAGTACATATGTATACAATTAAAAATAATATCTACTAAAACTTTACTTTCTTCGTTCATAGTTTTGGCATATTTTATGAAAGTTTCAAAAAAAAAAAAGAAAAATAGCTCAACAAAAGCTACTAAAAATCTCCACTATGCGACAATGTCCGCCGGGGTATACAGAGAATTCGTAATTTTGCTTTGTTTACTCATTTTCTACAGTTCTTCATTTCCACCATCTAAACAATTTTTATATTTTACCCCTCATTTTTACTAATTTAATTTTCATTAAATTTTTATGCTACTATTTTTACGCCTCACTCCACACTCTCCACCTTTCGTCTCGTAAGTATTGGCAATATTTCGCAATTACTGCTTTTTAATGACTTTTTCTCTCAACTTGCAAAGATTTACCTACCCATTTGAAATGCTTTCGCTTTCAGTCATCACCATTACAATAATCAATACCGTACCGATACAAAATGTAGTAACTGTAATTATTCGTTCACAGCGCTCCAGCATGCTTTTACATTTGGTTGTTGTTGCTATACACGCGCCAAAAGAAAGTATGTATCTTCTATTTTGTGCATGCAAAACAAAAAAGAAAAAAAAAACAAAAAGAAGAAGGTGAAACATTCAATTAATGACATGACTGCAAATAATCACGCTTAATTGAATATTTTGCTCGTTGTGTGGCAAATATAAAAAAGAAAAACAAGAAGAAATATTCCGCAGTCGTCGAAGACAAAGTCTGCAAGTGAGCTTTAGAAATTAGAGTAAAATTGAAAGTTTATTAATGTAAGGCGTGTAATTGAAATTGCTGATGGAAAAGTGTTTGTGAAGATGGAAAATCGGTTTCGAAACTAACAGCATTGAGTATTTAAACAAATTAAGCAAATAAATGAATTTACTTAAAAAAAAAAAAATTTATGCAAAGAAAATTACTTAATATTTATGGATAGATATGTATATTCGTATCGCGACTGAGCGTGAATATGATGAAAGATCATTTCTTCTGTTTCTGCCTGGCCTTATCAGGGACACGGCCTATGCATCGAAGAACTTTGCTGCTCGGTTAACTAGTAAAATCTATATTTTATTTTATTTTACTTTATCTAATTATCTTTTATTTAACTTACTTTTATTCCATTTAAGTTGAATTTATTTAATTTAATTTATTTTTATTATTATTTTTATATTTTTTACTTTACCTTAATTTACTTTATTTTACTTAATATTATTTAAATTTTCTTTATCTTATTTTAATTCATTTTTTTATTTCCTTTAATTTGAATTTATTTTGTTTGGTTTCTTTTTATATTTTAATATTTTTTATACTTTTTTAATTGATCTTTATTTATTTTTGTATTTTCTTTATTTATTAAACTTAATTTCATTCCATTTCAGTTTCTTTTGTTTTATTTATTTTATTTTTTTAAACTTATTTTATTTGGTTTGCTTTATTCAAATTTAATTTAGTTTAGTTTATTTTGTTTTATTTATTTTATTTTATTTTAGTTTTTTTTTATGGTTTTATTTTATTTTTTATTTAAATTTTTATTTGATTGTAATAAATTTTAGTTTGTTTCATTTTCTTTTACTTCATTTTATT